TTTAATATTTTTATTGAGCTTTGTACCACGATTGTTTATTAGGAAAAATTGAAAAAGCAACAAAGTCTAAGCGGTAGATGCTTGTTGTGCACTGCATAACATTTTCCATACATACAATGTTGAACCACCAACTGTAATTGAGATCAATGAACAAGGCTCAAATTTAGCTTTATCGACCAACTCCAATATAGAAAAGAACGAATTTTTACGTGTGGCGCACAGTACGAGACCGAATTAAAAATAGCTTGCGTTCCTAATTTTAATTTCGTAACTTTGTGTAGTAAATTAATGGCCCGTAGTCATAGTCAAAATAAAGTCGACTTTAAAGTTAGTTGCAGCTTTTTTGCATAATTTTCAATGGGATATCTGTCAAAAAAGCTGCAACTAACTTTAAAGTCGACTTTATTTTGACTATGACTACGGGCCAATGTCATTAAAGAATTTTTCACAATAAGTTCATTTTCTTCTTTTATTTATTTGAGAATAATAAATAGTAATATATAAATATGTTTTTGGTTCTATTACAAACATATGTATTTATATATAAAAATAAACAAAACTTTTCTTCAGGTATACATATGTATGTACATACAAAGGCAAATATTTGATATGTTTGTATATTAATCCCTACGTGTATTAACATCTAGCAGCTGTTGCTTGAGTCTTAGTTATGAAATTCTAATTTTGTTTCTCTCCATGTCGCTTTTTACTTTGTATTCATGTTTTAATTTTGCGAATTTAAGTTTTTGTGTCTCTATTTCTATTTTCTCTTCCATTTGTTCCACAGATTTATTTGTTTTTGCTAATGATTTTAAATTGTAATTTACATCTTTTAAAATGCGAGTACAATCTTTGTGGAATTTTGTTTGCCCATCCACTTGCATCTTCAAAAGATTGCTTTTTCTTTGAGTTCGGGACCGCATCGTACTGCAATTGGGTGACGCCTGGGAACAGGAAGGAGGAGTACAAGGTGTTCGAGCAAATTTATTTTCGAATCGAGTTATAGAATAGGGCCCCTGGTTCAAGGAATTTTGCTTCAAGAAAATTGTTTTTTTATTTTTATTATCACCCCTATTGCGAATGTCGACTGACAGTAGATAAACGACTATTAAGCGATTATCGATTGTCGATGCTATTATGAGTGTCGATTAGTCGCTCAGTTAGCGATCGTGAACGGTTTTCTATCGCTCATCTTTCTATTGTTATTTCTGAGTCGCTGGAGTTTTCGTCTACAAAATTTTTACAAAAAGTGGTACTATAATGCATAAAAAGTAAGTCAATTGAACAGGAAGTGGTATAAAATTGTGGAATATACATACGTATGTATTTGTCTGAATTACAGATCAAAAATTGTAAGCAACAAAAGGCAACTAGCGCGGTTGGTCGAGCTGATGCAGGAGAATGAGGACATTGGTAAAGGAATTTGCGGAAAGAGTAGGGCGAAACCAAGATGGGAAGCCATTGCAGTGGAGCTTAACAGCTTGGGACCACCAATGCGTTCTTGGGAAAAGTTGTTAAAGGTAACAAATTTCTATAAAAGTTGTGTTGAATAAATTAATGCGGCATATTTTTATGTAGGTTTGGACAAATTTAAAGAGCAAAACAAAGAAGAAAGTATCAGAAAATGGATCGGAGTTTCGTGCAACTGGAGGAGGCCAAAACAACCTGCATACCCTTACGCCACTAGAGGAAGCTGTAGTCAACTTTTTAAAGTACGACATTTGTGTCAATCCTCCAGGTGAAGAAATCGGAAGCAGCGCTTCAAGAGCTCATTCGGTGGAAATCAATGAGCAGGAAAATTTCTTTAGCGAAATTTAAAGGGAAGCCTTGGAAGACTCAGATACGCGAGGAACCCAAGAATGCGAAATAGAACCACAGCGTATTTCCAAGCAAAGAAAAAAAAAATTGCTATTCAAAGCAAAAAAGAATGGCGTTGCTTGAAAAACAAGTACAACGTCAATCGGAACATTTTGAGGCCATGGAAGCAAATGCTTAAGAAATAAAAGATAGTCTTAGACAAATTGAAAGCAACACAAGGAAATCTTATAGACTTCAAAACGAAAGACTGACTTTAGAAAAAGAAAAACTTAAATTAGTAAAAGAAAAACTTAAATTAAAAAAAGAAAAGATGGCACTTCTTAAAGAAGAAGTTGTAAATAAAGCCAGAAATAGGCTAGATAAACTGTGGTTAAAAGTGCAGCTGTTGGAGATGCAAAAGGAAAACCTAATGCAATAGTTTCACGATATATTTAAGTTTAGTTTAAGGATATATTTAAGCTTGGACCTGAATTAATGTGATTCTGATTTTATGTGATTTAACCAACAAACCAACTTAAGTTTTTTTTATGAAAATAAGTTTTTGTTTTTTTCTTTAACTTTTTACTTCTAGTTTTAATTAAATGACTGAATCGAGCAATAAATATACGAAATGAAGTGATAAAAAATGTAGTGCGCGAGCACCTAACAAGCACCTAAATCGATTTTTAAGCACCCCAATTGTGCGTTCTACAATATTCCTTGCTTGTGAATGTTTTTGGTTAAATACACTCTCTGCAGATCCCTCTTCAGGATTCCGAAATGGAGTCAGCATATAGGGTTGTAGAGCGTATCCTGCATCACCTGAGAGAATATACTAATTTTACAACCATCCAAATGTAACACATTTTTTGAGCAAACAAACATAATAATATATTCCGTTCACCCCTGCGGTAGTCATCTTCTAATTGCGGTTTTAAGGCAGACATGTTAAAAACCGCAGAATCGTGCGTTGCCCCAGGATGTTTTGCATAGACATAGCGAATTTTCATAGCATTATCACAAACCTGTAACAAATATAAATAAAAATTAAATCAATCAGGGGTGTTACAGATTCTGATTGTTATGAGAATCAGAATTGAAATCGACAAAAGTTTGGTTTTGGTGTTACAAATTCTGATTTGATCGGTTTCATGTTCCAATCATATTTGATATCGATTTTAGGTGTTACAGAAACCGACTAATCGGTTTACTTGTCAGAACTAAACCGATACGTTTTGTGCTGACAGAATTATTTATTTAGTGCGCAATTAAGTCGTGTTTCATCCTTGGTCGTGTGTTGTGTGCCAATTTTTAAATTACTGGAAAGTGGTAAAATGTACGTTATACAAAAATAGATAAATGAAATACATCTTACTTTATAAATTGTTTTTATTTATACTTAACTAGGGGAAAACATAAGAGCCAGGGCCAAATTATTCTTCTGATCCAATTTATGGAAGAAAACCCAGATTTAGCTAAGGGATTTTCAAAACGGGATAAGTCCCTCGTAAGCTCGTTGTGGCAGGAATTGACCGATATGTTAAACGCCGGAGGTCCACCAACAAAAGATGTAAATGGGTGGAAAAATGTAATAAGCTCGAAAATCGAATGTTAAATTTTTTCTAACGGGATATTCATTGGTCTTCGCTAGGTATGGACTGAGTGGAAAGCGAAGTTAAGAAGAAATTGGCACACAATACAAGTGAAACGCGAGCAACTGGTGGTGGACCTTTCACAAAACATACATTGACCGAATCAGAAGAAGCCATTGTCCGAATATGTGGAATGACGCGGGCGGTAGAGGGCGTGCCTGGGGTATCATTAGGTCAGATCCTTGAGCCAGGCGATGAACTTAGCGACGACATTCCTACGACATCGTCAAAGAGGAGAGCCGAGACTCCACACGTTCCCAACACTCCAAAGAAACTTAAGCCGGAAGTTTCGCAGCGGAATAGATGTACCTACACATTTTACTTTTTTAACTTACAATCATCGCATTCATGCTGAAATACCCTTTCCGATTAAAATATAAATGCCCATCAACCGAGGGGTGTACAATTTTTACGTGCGTTCCATCAATGCATCCAGTAATGCCTGGAATGCGGTATTTTGTGTAGAAATATTCCCTTGCCCTTCATTTTTCGTTGTCGTTCATTTCAAGTTTAACCCAGCGTCTGCAAATTCTAGGGCTTTCAGCACTTCCCTTATCACCACCGACACCGTGCTCTTCGCTAAATATATGCTCAAATCGTTACCCACAGATCTTTGATAAGATCCCTCAGCGAAAAATCTTAAAGCCGCTGCAAGTTGCATCACCGGAGAAATGGATAACCAATCTAGCTTGCATTTTATTACGTCTAACACCATTACAAAAGCTTCCTTATTAAGGCGATATTGGTCAATAAACCTGCAAAATTGTAGACGTTCTACGGCGAATGCACTTACGTTGCCTCTGGTAGCTCCAGCGGATTGCTCTTGTCTCGCAAAATCTTTCGCTGTATTTTTTGAGTGGATTCCCTAGTGCCATTCATTAAAAGAAACACTATCACCGCAGAAGTCATATTTGTTCACTTTTCATAACACCATTTCTGAGATTCCGATATCTTTTTTGTAACATCTCTGAATAAGTAATCGACTTCAAAGGATTTTCCTTCGAAACACTTACTATCATTGTATTTAAACTGAAATATCCTTTCCGGTTGTAGTTAAATGTTGAAGGTCCTTTTTGGGGGCAACAATTTTAACAAAACTTTAAACACTTCACTCAATACTAATGAAACGGTAGATTGTCCAAGTGCGATATTGCTCTCATTTCCTACGATGAGTTGATATGATCCCTAAGCACAGAACCTCAGTGTCGCTGATAACTTTAAAATCGTAGGAATTGATGTATTTCTTACACCTGCTGGTAATTTGCTTTCCAGCAGTGTAAGCAAATACGTGAATGCAGGTTTTGGCAAACGAAAATTTTTCAGAAACCTATAAAGATATGTTTAGTAAATTGCTTAAGCAATGCATGAAAATGAATACATTTGGTCCTCCAACTCCAGAGGGTTAGACGAATCTCTCAACCGCCTTCTCAATTTTGCCAACTCCGTTAAACTGACACTTTCATCTTCACTCTCGTCACTAAACCACAGCTCAACAGTATCCATTTATTAATTTATTTATACAAAAATATTAATTTTAAAATAGTTGCTCAAAGCAATTAAAAGTAAAACAAACTGCTTACAAATGTAAGCAAACACCCGAACCGCGGTCAATTCAGTTAACCATTCACAATAGAGCAAATTCTTGTCGATCAGGTTTCACAATACAAAAATAAAAGATAATCGACTCGATAGACAAATTTCTATTCTACTGGCAGTCGACACTCGCAATAGGGGCCTATGTGAATTTTTTGTTCTTTGATACTGAATGTTTGACTTCAGAATGTGATTTATTTTGAATTATCCGTATGCTGTAATCCGAAAGTTCGTAGTTACGAATATGTAGCTCCGTTCGAAAAATTAGAAAATTGGTATGCTGGAATCCAATCGTAACTATCAACGAAGTTCTTGTTGGTGTAACATCAGTGCTCAACCCCCGGAGTTTCATCATGGGTCGTCTTCGTCCTCTGACTCAACAAGCCTGAAGCCAAGAAAGCCTGCGGCGTCGATAGCCGCGGTCCATAGTACTTCGGGTGTCAAGGTCGTAGGGTTAGAGGTGTTGGGTGTTGTGTGGATCTTGGCCGCATGTTGGGCATATGTCTGCCACTTCTGGCTTCATTCGGGAGAGATAACTGTTTAATCTGTGTCAACACCTAGAACGCAGTTGTGCTAGGGTGCACCTGGTCTCTCTCGCACCCCTATTGCGAATGTCGACTGGCAGTAGATAAACGACTATTAAGCGATTGTCGATTATCGATGCTATTGTGAGTGTCGCTTAGTCGCTCAATTAGCGACTTGAATACTTTTTAATCGCTCATCCTTCTATTGCTGTTTTTTAGTCGTTCGAGTTTGCCTTTATAAAATTTACTTAAGAAAGTGTTACTATAATGGATAAAAAGTAAGTCAATTAAACTGGAAGTTGTAAAAAATTGTGAAATATACATATGTATTTATGGGCCTGTTCGAGGCACGTAATAAAAGCGGCATTACTGCCGTACTGAAGAAAACTGGCAACATTGTTGCAACTGCCCAACTGATAATACATTGCTAGAAATTCACACAGAACGTGATACTTTAATAATTCGCGCAACACTGCGGTTGTGATTGCATCTGGAACAAGCCCTATGTGTCTGAATTACAGATCAAAAATTGTAAGCAACAAAAGGCAACTTGCGCGGTTCATCGATGTGATGCAGGAGAATGAGGACATAGGCAAAGGAATTTTCGGTAAGAGTGATATACTTGACTCCCGCAGCTCCTAGCTTTTTCGCCATCTGCATCGAGATTCCGTCAGGGCATAACGCCTTGGATGCTTTGGCGTTCTTTACAGCTGCCTGCGGCTCTTCTGGTTTCGGTTCTCCTTTTTTAACTTCGTGAGGGGTCTAACTAATTCCGCGAAAACTTTGATAAACCTTCGGTACCAGGACACTGTGCCTATAAAGGACCTAACCTGCTTGACATTCGTCGGTCTCTCGATGTTAACCATCTCTTCTCCCTTCTCTGAATCCACGTGTAGACCGTGCTTGTCTACCACGTAGCCTAAATATTTTAGCTCTGACCTACAGAAATTGCACTTGGCCCTATTCAGTCTTAGACCTGCCTTAGCTAACCTATCTAAAAGCTTAAACTGACGGCAGCGTTGACCCGGATTAACTCGGACTTAATCCGGATTAACTGCAGTTAATTCCCGAGTTGATCCGGATGAACTCTGCCGACTGTTTATACTTTAAGACTACCTGTAAAATCTCCTAGTGCTTTTCAAAGTTATTAGCAACGATGATAATATCGTCGAGGTAAACAAAAACATTGGGTTCCAACTCTGGACCTAAAACGGAATTTATAAATCTTTGCTATGTCGCAGGTACATTATGCAACCCATATGGCATTCTCCTAAACTGGAAGAGACCTCTACCTGGTACCGTGAAAGCCGTGAAGGGCCCCGACTGCTCCTCCGCGGGCACCTGCCAATAAGCAGACTTAATGTCCAGACTGAACAAGAACCTAGTGTTCCTAAAGCTATGCGAGGCAGAACAAATACACTAACTGATCTGCTGATTTAAGTGCAACTGACTCCACACTCTGTGGAGCGTTTCTTTATAATACAAATCTTACATTTAAAGCGCAGTTAGTCAACGACGTAACGTAAACGTAGGTAGACGTACGTAGCAGCATATCAAATTTACTGTTTACTAGAGAGAGAGAGAGAAGCAACGGCAACGTCACCGCCATGCGGCGGTGAGTTTTCGTTAACACGCGAATCCCATATGGTAGGTCATGTCTGCGCCAACCTACGTCTACGCTATGTCGTTGACTGTTTGCGCTTTTAGACATAATTCTACGTTACATGTTTGTATGTATAAATGTAGTATGTATTTATATATGTATGCATGTTTGTGTACATCGATACACATGCATGCTTTTATTACAAGGTTTTTCTTATATAAATAGTATTCTGAACTGTAGAGAAATTTTAAAGAATTCGTAAAGATCTCATCCGATT